AAAATAAGAGGAAGGGAAGCAAAAATCATGACACTCCCCACAACAACGCAATTAGTGTCATTCTCATTTTACAGTTGAGTGTAGTAGCAGAAACTGAAAATCCAGGTCTTTCTGACTGCAAAACTGGTGTCTTCACTGTCATGTCGATTGTCTTCTGACCAAAGAACAGATGGGAACCCTGCTCAGGTTTGGATCTGTTCATGGAAATGCTTCATCCTTGCTGTCTCTCAAAGTGATGCTATCAGAGAAACCTGAGGCTGGCCATCCATTTGTTGGAAAACGCAGGGTGAGGAGGAATCAGTGTGTGCCATAGCCTCCCCTCTTGCAGAACTCAGTAGGCTGGCCTTATTTTAGGGTCACCTGGGAAAATCTCCATTCCACTTCTTGTCTCTTCTCTTTGTGGATCAGGGGAAGGGGCAGAGTAGGGAGGCAAGAGTTCCTGCTGTCATAACTGATCACTGCACAGCACCTTACAGCATCTACAAATACCCCAGCAAGCCATCATTTAATTTCATTATCCTTTATCCTCCCAACAATCCCAGATGTCAAAGACACCACGAACTGGCCAACCCCATTTTACAGGAGAGGTGTAGTGTTTTGTCCAGGACCACAGAACCAGAAGAGCCTGAGCCAAATTGGTACCAAGGTCTCCTGCCAGAATCCTCTACTCCTTTTCTTCCCACAGATCATGGCAGGTGGGGTCCAGGCCTTGGCCATCTGTCTACAAATCAAGGATGAAAAGGGAGTGATTCTAGGTCAAAGGACATTAGATCTGATTTTAGCCACTCCTCTCAGTTCCACATTTCTTCCTCCTTTCTTCTCTCTTCCAAGGAATGGGACTTCACCCAGCCCTACTCCTGGCCTTTTGGAAGGGCCTGGGGGATAGTAGCAACAAGGGCAGAAGGAATCCTGGGTCCCTGGGATTTCTTGTTGCTGTCTATGTTGGGGCTCCCTTTAGACACTGCCCGCCTCAGCCTCCGGCCCTATTGGAGGGGAGGGGCCCTTATGTTTGGGTCAGGGCGGCCTTGGCCCACGCTAGGTAGAAAGGAGTTAAAGCCGAGCCCAAGGATCACCGGGACCGAGAAGTTCCGGTGGCACAAACTGGAATGGAGTGGGGGAGACCCGCTCGGAAGAGCAGTTTGGGACGTAAGGGGGGCGGTGCCAGCTATGCTAATCTGTGCTTCATCTCCAACAGCGTTAGGCGTCCACTGGTAAACTGTAGCCCCCGCCCCCCGCCCCAAGGCCGGTTTTTACTACCCCCTCCGGTGTGAGCCACCCTCACCCCCCGACAGTTGGAGGCCAGGACCGGAGACTCCAGAGCGAGGACTGGCGGCCTCCCTTTGTCCGTGCAGAGCCCGCGGAGGGGCTGCGAGGGGCGGGGCCAGGGCGGGCAGAGGGAGGAGGGAGGGAGAGGCGGGGGAGATGCTGAGCCTCCAGGGGCAGAGGAGGCGGCGGCGGCAGAGGAGAGAGCGGGAGGAGGGAGGGAAGGCTGGAAGAGGGCAACCCGAGGCCGGGCCAGGTGGCTGGGCCGGCTGCTGGCTGTGCTGCGCTGCACTCGGTTCCGACGGCCTCTCTCATGTGCTGAGGGCGCCCGGCTGGACCGGACCGGCGGCCGGAGGAGAGGCTCCTCTCCATGGTCCAGAAGACCAGCATGTCCCGGGGCCCTTACCCACCCTCCCAGGAGATCCCCATGGAGGTCTTCGACCCCAGCCCACAGGTGAGGCGTGGTGGCCAGGCTCGAGGGAAGGGGACAGACAACTCCCGCGGACCTTTTGGGGCCGGCTTTGAGGGGAGGCGGGGAGAAAGGGGTTGTATGCCCGGCACCAAGGGGAGAGGGGTGCCTGCGCGCCCCCAATCCTTGCCGGTAATGAGTGATGGATGGGTGCTTCGCCTGGAGTTGGGCTGTGTTTTTGTGGAGCCGGGAGGGGTCAGTCGGGCAGCCTGTCACCCTAGCCTCCTAGTCTCCCCCGCGTCAGGGTTCCTGCTGCTCGGGTACCGGCTCCAGTGGGTTGAGAATACGGGTGCTGGCGAGGGAATCCGGCGGTTGAGGGAAGCTGGAGAGCGAGATCAGGCAAAGGGAGCGACGCAGAGCACGCTTAGGGGCGCCAGGCGGCTGTGGGTGGAGCGGGGGTGGCACTGGGAGATGGCCGAGGCGGTGGTCAGAGGGCGGTGCCAGCAGGCCTTCGGAGCCGCAAACGCTGGCTCTTCAGTGTGGAGAAGGGGCCAGTCCCGGTCCAGGCACCCATATCAGCTCCACTCCTATATATTGGACCAGCTCCCCTCCCCCAACACTCACGTTATCTCTCCCTACCCATCCCGCAACCCCCCAGCCCAGAAAACGCCTCCAAAGTTTGGAAAGTTGGGCAGATGCCAACTCACTATCCTGGAGGGGAAGAAGCTGTGTTACCTGGGGGAGGGGTCTCCCTGGCCACCTCCACTCACACTTTTGCTGTGCTTCTGGATTCCCCCCAGGAAGAGGAATTATTTATAGGGCGTGGTGGGTGCCTGTGAAATGACCAGTGAGGTCTGGGGTGGTTGTGCTATGGGATTTCTGTGGGACAAGACCCTCTCCAATCTGGCAACACCCCAAGGCTAGGATAGCATTAACTCTTTTCTTGCTGTGGCCAGCCTGGAGCAACTGTAACCACAATGATAATATGGTTGATGGATATAGGGTGGGGGGTGGGGGGCCAGGTCAGATCTAAAAATACCTCCCTTCCCCAACCCAGGCCCCTTGGAGCCTGGGAGGCAGCTGACTCGGGCCTTCCCTTCAGCTGTCCCTTATCCCTGTGGATGCCACTCCCTTTTTCCGGCCTGGGTGGTGGTGGTGGTGGTGGTGGTGGTGGTAAGAAAGAGAATCTGAGGCTCCCTGGGGGATCCTCTTAAGTTCATGGGGCTCCTCCATCCTAGAGGTAGGGTATATGTCTGGTCTGAGAGAAGAGGATGGGAGGGAGGATTCTTGAAGGATCCCCAGGTGCCCTTCTCTACCATCTGGCCATCTTCCTTCTACTCAGGCCCTAGCAGCCAAAACCCCCTCATTGGGCTATGGCTTTTCTGGCTTCTTTGGCAAAGAAACTCTAGGCTGGAGGCTGGGGGCAGGGGCTTGGAGGTCCTGAATCCTCTGTAATCCCCCAACTCTGGACTGGCCTGGGGCCAATGAATGTGAGCTTCGGAGGGCCAAGAAGCAGCCCTCTTTACAGGAAGCCTGGATATACCTGAGTGTGTGGCTGCTTGAGAGGTCAGGCAGCATCGACTCCACCCAAGCCAGGAGCCCAGCCAGTGGCTGAGCTAGCCTTTTCTGGGGACCTGTGGGGGCTGTGTCCTAGGCTTCTCTTGGGGCAGCGCCAAGGGGCATTTAGACTGATGCATCTGTGTGGGTGCCATTGGGACAGGGCAGGGGCAGTCCCAGCTGGGCATTAGAGGGTGGAAGAGTGACCCCTCTTGCCCCCTGGGGGAGAGGTGAGGCCACTGTGATTATCAGGAGGGTCTGAGAAAAAAAAGTCCTGGAGTGGGGGGCTAAATCTGCCCCATGACACTGGGCAGAGGGGTGGGGTTAGATGTTTACCTTTCAAATACAGTTTCATGCCCCCCGTTGCCTCCCCAGAACTCTAATTTTGAGTCTCCAAGACCTAAGAGCTGCCGCTCCCCTTCCCACTCTGCAGAAAACCAAAGGCAGGAGTTGGGTCCAGAAAGAGCCAAGCTGGGCCCTGTTGGCTATTCCTCTCCTCTCTGGGGCCACAGCCGCACTCAGCCCTGCGCCGCTCCAGCTGAGAAGGAGGGGGACTTTCCCCTGCTCTCTCTGCACCCCCAGCACTGCAGGCAGCCTCTCCCTTCCCCTGAGGCCTCTGCAGCCTGCCCAGCATCTTAATTAGCTTTGCTGCTTAATAAGCCTCCAGCTTCTCAGCGCCTCCCCTTGCCGGCCTCTCTGGCTTGGTTTGGGGGTTTCTGTGAGCTGTTCTCTTCACTGTTCCCCACCCCATGGCTTTGGTCTGGGCCTTCCTTCCTCTTCAGGTTGTACCATTTTAGGAAGAAGGTGGGGGGTGGTAGTGTTCAGATCAAGGAATAATATTCCCAAGGCTTGGCTGTAGCTCTGAGCCTGATGGGATGAGGGTTGGAAAAGGTGTTTCTGATTCCACTTTTGTCCCTTCTTGGCTTCTCCAGGGCAAATACAGCAAGAGGAAAGGGCGGTTCAAAAGGTCGGATGGGAGCACTTCCTCGGATACAACATCCAACAGCTTTGTCCGCCAGGTAATGGGGAGGCCAGGCTGAGAGGAAGGAGGAGGCTGGTTGGTGGAGACCAGCATGGGTGAGCTGGGTCTGAGGCTGTCTCCAGACACCCTCCCCCATGTCATTTGGCACCTGCCTAGAAACACTCCATCATCCTTACACCCCCTAACCTCTCCTGCATATACTGTCAGCTGCACCCACTCCCTCAGCCCCCGCCCGGCCCTTCCCCCAGCACCAGGCATCCAGCCCCTGCTGCCTGCCTGCGTCATCTCATTCAGGGACAGCCTGGCCTGCCTCCTTCTAGCTTGCTTCGGGCTGTCACCCACTCCCCCTGCCGGCTGTCTGCTTCCATGTCCTCCCCCAGAATGTGACAGTGTGGGGTAGAGGCAGGGCCTAAGAAATGAGAAGCCAGGACATTTGAGTCCCTGGAGCCCTAGTTAGGTGTGGCTCAGGGAAACACCCTCCTCACATCCAGATATAACTGTCCTTTAATATGCAGAGACAAAGTTGACGGAGGCGGAGTAGAGGCAGTAGAGAATTGATGTTAGAGAGGGCTTTAGTCTGGCACCCCTGACTGAAGGTGTAACTGAATAACGTTCTGAGGGTCTTCTTTTCTCAGTCAAGAAGATGCCATTCTCATTTCTGTTCTGACTCTCAATCCCAGGCCATCTCAGGTTCAGAGAGAAGCAGTGGGAGAGGCGTGTGGTTGCTATGACTACAGAGCATCTCAGCACAACCTGGTACTCAAAAAAGGCGAGGGGGGCTTGCGATCAGACGAGGAAAAGGAGTACATTGAAGAAGAAGTAGGCAGGGCATTTGAGGGCAGAGGACAGTAGGGAGGTCAGTCCGCTTGAGCCAGGAGAGAGAGAGCAGTGCCAGACAGATCCATCACTGATTGGAGCAAGACCCTTTTTGATTCTTCTGTCTCCACAACATTTGGCACGTGTGAGCCCAGGTCTGGCTTGAGAGAGTCAGCAAAGGGGTCCTTCATCTCAGCATCTCTGAAGCCCACCGACAGACAGGAAATCCTTTCTTCAGTCTCCCTCATCCCTCCTGTTGCAGGACTGGGCTAGGGCTAGGGTTAGGAAGAATGACACTGTGCTTGGTGTAACCCCTCTTGACAGAAAAGAGCCTTGGTTCCTTCAGTGTTTGCCATCCCAGGGGGTCAGCTCCGGTCTCCAGTCCTTCCTCTCTGCTCCCCAGCTCTGACCCCCAGTGGGTGACAGGGGTAGGGGGGGCCGTCCTTGCCACATCTCTGAGCTAAATATACCCTAGCAGTTTGTACATGTAGCAATTCTGCTTGTAACCTGACCCCCTGGGGGAACGGGCAGTTTGGGCCACCCCCTAGGCCAGCAGGGCCAGGCATTGAGGGTGCTGAGATGGAGGTGCCCAGCCGGACCCTTATAGTGGTGAGCTGGGGATGGGCCTGGGGTGGGCGGGTGGGTCACGGGAGCAGCCCCTTAGGAGAGCTGGTGGGGCACCTTCACTCCAGCTCGTCTCCTGGCTGCCTCACTGTTTCCCTGCTTCCCACCACTTCTGGTTTGTTGGTGTGCGTGCGTGCGTGTGTGTGTGTGTGTGTGTGTGTGTGTGTGTGTGTGTGTGTGTGTGTGTTGGGGTCAGTAAGTGCCTCTCTATCACTCTGTCTCTGGGCATCTGTCTCTCTGACTCTGAGCACTCCTGTCTCAAGGGATGGACTGTGAAGAATTGCTGGTTTTCATACTTCTTCCTTTGTGTCTCTTTTCCAGCTTCTGTTAGGACCCCACTCCTGACCCCCAACCTTTCCCCTCACAAGTCTCCCATTGTCAAGGTTTGGCTGGGACAGGGATGGGCAACTACACTAGCTAATGACCAAGGCCCTTGGGGGAGCTGGGACTGCCTTCTCTCTTTCCTAGGTCCCCTCCACACCAAGCTAAGGGACATTCCTGCCCAAGGAAGAACCCCCACTGGCCACTGGCCACAGTCTGCTCCTTTCCCACATCACCTCCCACTCCTTGTAGCAACACCACCACTTGACAGTCACACAAACCCATACCTCCTGGCTCCTGCCCTTACGGCACCCACCCTCGGGAACACAGACACCTCGGGTGCACCCTTTACGTGCTCATGTGTGCCTCTATACATTCTGTCCTGCATATCCAGCACATATCGTAGAACACACCCTCCTAAACAGACACACTTGAAGTTGCACTTCCAAGCACACTTGTCAGTTGGCATGGTCATTCACCCTCCAGGTCTGGACAGGATGCATCTCTTACACATGTGCCTGCATCCCTGAAGGAGGTTCAAGGCCAGCTGCCTGGCACACGCAGACTTCTGAACCTGCCTGAACCCTGGCAGCCAGCAGCCCTAGTGCTGGGGAAAGGCCTACCCCATATTCTGCTCTTAACTTACCTGTTCTGCCTGCACCTTCCCAGGAATCTTGGGTTCTCTTTTGTATCTTGTGAGAGCCTGATGGTTGGGGCTTCCCTGATTCTGGCAGGAGAGGTAGGAGTCTGTCTTCCCTCACCCTTGAGCAGAAGGCAGCAAAATTTTTGGTGGCCCCATCATGCCAAGCAGACTGCCCACTGCCACCTGGGAAGAGAGCTCAGGCCTAAGCTGGTGGCTGTAGTCCCTGGAAGGACTCACTGGGCCTCTGCTGAGTCTTTGTTGGCCTGTGCTGGGAGCAGGGGAGGGAAGGAGCAGCAGGGAGCGGAGACGTGTCCCCTGGCGCTGCTCCCCTGCCCTGTGCCCCTATCAGATTCCCACCCCTCCCTGGGCCCCAAGCAGCTGTCCTTGGACCAGCCTCAACCCCCTGCCTGCTGCTGTCACCCTTTTTGGGGCCGCACTCTTCCTGGCTCCTGTGCTGGGTGTGCCAATCTCAGTCCCTGATGCCTCCCATCTGATACTACCTTCTCCTAGTGCTTGTGGCATATGCTGGGCTGGCTGGAGCTTGAGGCATCCAGAATTAGTGGCACCTCCATGCCCTTCTGAGGCTCAGTTGCAGAGGAGGCAGCATTGGCCCTGAGCTGGCCCCATCTGTTTTCAGGGCTCAGCGGAGTCCTACACCAGCCGTCCATCGGACTCTGATGTGTCTCTGGAAGAGGACCGGGAAGCCTTAAGGAAGGAAGCAGAGCGCCAGGCATTAGCCCAACTTGAGAAAGCCAAGGTGAAGAAGATGGGAGGGACTGTGCTGGCATTATTTCCTCCCGGCCTAGGCCTTAGAGACAGATTGGACAGACTCAGGACAAGTCTTGGCCCAGCCACTTCTAGCTGGTACACCCCAGGCCTCGATGTACCTCTCACCTGTAAGATGTGGGCTAAATCCCTGCCTTATATGGTATAATAAATTCCTGATACTGTTCCCACACATAATAGGAGCTTGAGAAGTACTAAAAATTTCCACTTCTTCCGGGAGTCAAACTTCTTGGGTTGATTCTTACTAGCTGTGTGATCTTAGGTGAGTCACTTAACCTTTCTGGACTTTAGTCTCCTTGTTCATTAAAATGAAATAATGATAGTACTTAACTTAATAGAGTTTTTATGATGAATAAATGAGATAATACTCATGCACCAGGTAACACAGTACCTGGTGCACCAAACAGTAGCCACTATCTTCATTATTACTATGAAGTAATTATTACTATGAAGACACACTTCCAGGTATCATTCTGGGCTTCTGCACCCTGTGCCCTCCTCCACCCTGAGAGGGCTGAATTCTATTTTTCACTTTCCTTTTCTTGTTATAAAATTTAACATACATACAAAAAAAAAAACCCACATAAACCATTCAGTGTGCCTTTTAATGAACAATTTACAAAGCAAAGCTCCAGGTAATCACCACCCCCGTCAGGAAGTTGTACATTACAAGGTGGTTTAACCTTCTGGTTTTCATCCTCCCCATGCTCCTCCTGCAGACCAAGCCGGTGGCATTTGCTGTGCGGACAAATGTTGGCTACAACCCGTCTCCAGGGGATGAGGTGCCGGTGCAAGGAGTGGCCATCACCTTCGAGCCCAAGGACTTCCTGCACATCAAAGAGGTGAAGAGAATGCTTGGCCGCTGGAGGGAGGGCAAGGCAGTGGGTGCCAAGAGAGGGGCAGCCAGAGCTCTAGTGAGCCAGGCAGAGCTGGGCTGAATCTGCTTTGCGACCTTAGGCAAATCTCTCCACATCTCTGAGACTCTTAATTTTTCATAGGTAAAATGGGGTGGTAATGTCTAGGTACAGGGTCATTGAGAGGGTTTGTATGAGGCCTGTAAGTGAAGTGGCAGTGTGCCAGGCACATATAGGTGTCCGGATTTATCCCTCTTTCTGCCTTTCCAGGGTAGGGTGGGCACATGGAGGGAGGAAGGACTCTTAGAACATGCTGGCGACAGGGTGGGCCATGGCCCCAGAGGATGCTGGTCCCGGAGATGTCCTGAGAGTTGGGGGCTGTACCTAGAGGCTGGAGGCAGGGGCAGGGTTCTTTGAGGGTGCTATGCCTGGAGGCAGGGACAGGATGGACAAGCCGGGGGGTGGTTTCCCCTGGAGAGTAGCTGCTGGTTACACCTCTAGTCTCCCTCTTGGTCTTTCCTACCCCACCTGCTATTATTGTTGTTTGCAGAAATATAATAATGACTGGTGGATCGGGCGACTGGTGAAGGAAGGCTGTGAGGTTGGCTTCATCCCCAGCCCTGTCAAACTGGACAGCCTGCGCCTGCTGCAGGAACAGAAGCTGCGCCAGAACCGCCTCAGCTCCAGGTGCCTGGCAGGGTGGGGGTGGGGGCATGGGGCACTCCCAGCCCTAAGACAGGCCATCCAGCCAGGACTAGGCCTTAAGGGCTGACCCATGACCCTGAGGGCACAGACCTGGAGCTGTGAGAATCTCGGGGGGTTGCAGGCAGCCTGTGAGAGAACAAGATCCCCCCAGCTTCACTCCCACCACAGCTCACAGCTCCATTTGCCTCTCTTCCCACACAGCAAATCAGGTGACAACTCCAGCTCCAGTCTGGGAGATGTAGTGACTGGCACCCGCCGCCCCACACCCCCTGCCAGTGGTAAGAGCTGCCTCCACTCCAGGGAATAGGGCGAGCTCCTGGGTGGGATGGTCTCCTCACTGCCTGTCCCCTCCTTTCTCTGTAGTAGGGAGTACCCCAATACTGGATCCTCCGAACACATTCAGTGGTACCCCCTCTGTGAAGAGTAGGGTGCCCCACAAGCTGGGCCTGTCAGCGCCCATCCTCTCATGCCTCTCCTCTCCCATTTCTTTGGTAGCTGCATCTCTGCCTGACTCCCCTGCCCACACCCCCCCATTCATTTCTCCCAGTCTGTTCCATTCACCTCTTCTTCTTTCTTTTTTCCCCATCCCGTCCCTGCATCCTGTACTTGTGTCTCCATGTCCATCTCGCTCCTTCTCCCTGCCTTGCCTCCCTCCTCCCTCTCCTGACTCTCCGGTCCAGGTAATGAAATGACTAACTTAGCATTTGAACTAGACCCCCTAGAGTTAGAGGATGAGGAGGCAGAGCTTGGCGAGCAGAGTGGCTCAGCCAAGACTAGTGTTAGCAGTGTCACCACCCCGCCACCCCATGGCAAACGCATCCCCTTCTTCAAGAAGGTAATTCTTACTGGGTTCTTGCAGGAGGGGAGGGGTTCTGGGCCCAGCTCTTGGCAGGGGGAAGGGATTGGAATGGATTCGGTGATACCAATCTGATTCTTTGGAGATCAGGGCTTCCTGCTGAGGAGGAGGGAAGGATAGAATGGCACCAAGAATGGGCACATCCATCTCCACACACAGCCCCATCCTGGCCCACTCCCCAGGAAGGGATGGTTCTTGCATTGGAAGCCTCTTCCCTTGGAAGGCTGCTCCCCACCCCAAGCAGGGTCTGGTAGTAATGAAACCTGACCTTTCCCCTCACTACCAGCAAGATATTCCCTGTGTACCCCCACCCTAACCCCCAGCATGTGAAGGAGAGAGTGGAATGGTGACCCTTCATTGTCCTTTGCAGACTCCGTGGGGCTAGGGGGATCTGCTGGCTTCAGAGCAGGATAGTGAAGGGAACTCCTAAAGTGGGCGGGTTGGCCTGCACTCTGCAAGGGGGCAGGAGGTGGGCACTGAATTAGGGGCTGCAATCCTTCCCAACTCTTTTCCAAGACCCAGAAAGGGGGCAGAGTATGTCTAAATATTGCCAGGTCCACTGGACTGACAGTCCCTCTCCCAGCCCTGACCCAGGGCCGTCTCTGGCTCCCCCTTGGCATGGGGTCTCGTCCCCTCTCTCTGGCTCTGTCTGTCACTAACACGCATGCCCTGTTATCTCTCCTCGTCTGCCCGCTCTCCCTCCCTCTCTTGTCCTGGCTCCTTCCTTGCCCTGTGCCCCTGCCTGGGTGCCCTCCCCTTTCTCCTTCCCCTCCCCCTCTTGGCAATCTCTGGACCCAGCCAAACAGAAGCAGAAGTCGGTGAGTATCACAGCTTTCTGTGTCCCCCTTCCTACCCCTGGGATGAGCTGGGGAGGCCTTCTAACACCCATTCCCGTATCTGTCCCCCATTTCCCCTACCCTTCCTGGTTCTCCCTGGCCGTCCCTCCCCATCCTCTCCCCGATCCCCACATCTGGGTTCTGGGACCAGAGGGAGGAAAGGATGCATGCAAGAGTCCGGAGGCTGGGGGAGAGGGACTAATGTCATCTCTACCTTGGGGTTTCCCCTTCCTGCTTCCCCCCCAGACAGAGCATGTGCCCCCCTATGACGTGGTGCCTTCCATGAGGCCCATCATCCTGGTGGGACCGTCGCTCAAGGGCTATGAGGTAGGAGCCCCTAGAGGGGAATGGACCCAGGGGGGCTAAGACCTCCAGAGTCATTCCACAGAAACGTTCGAACCCCAGAGAGATCCTCCAGAAGGGCCCAGATACCCGGGGTCCTCAGAGGGCTGCAGACCTTAGAGTAACCCCCAGAGGGGCATGACTCATAGGGAGACCCACTCAAGAAGGGTTAAGTTTCCCCCCAATTCCCAGAAATACCACCTAGAAGGACCTTTGGAATCGGAGACCCTATTGGAGGTCCCTCAGACCCAGCAGGAAGCCCCCATAGGGGCTCATTCATCTCAGGCATTTAAGAAGAAAATGGTATGTGTGAGTGCAAATACCCAGCAGTCCAGCTTTCCTAAGTAGCCTCACTTCTCCCCCACCTCCAACCCCCGACCTCAGGTTACAGACATGATGCAGAAAGCTTTATTTGACTTCTTGAAGCATCGGTTTGATGGCAGGTAAGACCCTGGGAGCTGACTCCCCACTCCCGCTAGTCCTCTCTGCTGGGGGTGGGCAGGATGGCTTGATGATGATCCTGGGACTCTGGGACTGAGGGATAGGAGGCAGGCCTGGGGAGCCAGAGGAGCAGTCAGGGCACCTAGGCCACGCTTACCCTGACTCCCCTTGCTCTGTCTTCCAGGATTTCCATCACTCGGGTGACAGCGGACATTTCCCTGGCTAAGCGCTCAGTCCTCAATAATCCCAGCAAACACATCATCATCGAGCGCTCCAACACGCGCTCCAGCCTGGGTGAGCTCAGCCCTCACCCGGCCCCCTTTGAGACCAGGTGGGAGGGGCTGGAAGTAGAGGGCCCTCCAGAAGGTTTCTATCCACCCACTGCCTCCTGGGGGACTCCCTTACATTCCCCCCTCCCCATGACTCCATGTCCCCCAGCTGAGGTTCAGAGTGAGATTGAGCGAATCTTCGAGCTGGCCCGGACCCTTCAGTTGGTTGCCCTGGACGCTGACACCATCAACCACCCGGCCCAGCTTTCCAAGACCTCACTGGCCCCCATCATTGTTTACATCAAGATCACCTCTCCCAAGGTGGGTGCAGGAGCCTGACTCTAGTGGGGACAGAAATGCTCTGGAGTTGGGCTGCCTGAGTTTAAATCCCAGCTACTGTTTACTGATTGTGTGCCTTAGTCTCCCCAAGCCTCAGTTGCCTTCTCGGTGAAACTCTATCACATGG